GTAATTAAGCCACATAGTTCAACTACTTTATTGTTTTTCCAAAACCCTTTAAAACAGGAGAGACCCACATCAGATCAAATCACCCTCTGAGCCACAGCACAACTGACTGGGCAAGTGAAAACAGTGTCAGGAGCACAGGACACGGTGACGGTCACTCTTCCTCTGCCCTCTTTGATCCTTCATAGCAGAGGAGGGTAGGAGAAGGAGAGGGGGAAAAGCCTGCTCTCATCCACCAGGAATACATCCAACAGCGATTTTTCCATCTCTCTGAGCTCCATTGCAACACTATTGACACTTGGCATTTTGTCTGGAACAACTCTGTTGATTAGCAACTATCCTTAGCTGGAAGGCTGGAGGGAGAATATCCCTGTCAGATTCAGGAATGAGTTGACTCCACTGAGTGCATCTTCTTCCCTCACTTGCTTTTCCTTAGGAGTGCACTGCTGAATACCTGGGATCATATCTGACTACTGTCACCAGCAGAGCAGAAAAACATTTCCAAGCTACTCATGTCTCTTAACAATCAGACACCTTCCATTCTGCCAGCACTGAAGTTGTCCACCAGCCTATTGCAGGTTCAGCTGGTGCCCCATTTAATAAGGAGATCAATTATGTTGCTTCCCACTCATCTCACGTTCCCAGTGAATTCGCCTATGCTAATCAGCAGTTTGCATACGGACCACTGGGTGCCAACAGGAACATCCTTCCATCAGGGAACTGACTGCTTGTTCTCCAGACATATTTTCAGTGAAGTTTCCAGCTGTCCTCTAACAGCAGTATAACCTGGCACGCCATGGAGATGATGTTTTCTTCGGAGACAGGAGCTGACATAACCATCCAGGTGGCCACATGGGCAACCAGACGAGCCCCTGTTCAACTCCTTTTGGGAGGCTGTGCAACAGGGGCTGACAGTGAAGCAGCACACTCACTCCTACACCTGCAGTGGCTACTGGTAAGCCCACGATAAGAGAAGGATTTTATGAATGATGAGCTCTGTGAGGTTTACTCAAGTCTCATTTGCAAAATCCTCCTAGGAAGACAACCCAAATTAAATCAACATGAAGGTGATTCCCCATGGAAAAAAAGCAATGTGTTACCTCTGAATGCAACACTTCCCATGACAACAGAAATGAAGGTAACTTTGCTCCCTGAAGCAGATGGGCAGGACTACCCTGACCATTACAGATCATTTGACTGTTCTTGGAGGGCACTGCCATTTGGAAGCCCCTCTTCTCATCCATACTTCCCTAAATGCATCTCACCTCAGGAGAGAGGCAAAACCAAGGCAAATGACTTCCAGAGGGAAACACCATGCCCTGGGAAAACTTTCTGCCTTGCCAGATGAGCACAAAATGACCAGATTTAGAAATAAACGTTTTCATTCCGCTCCTCCACAGCCTCACTGTGCGATAAGGGGGGGAAGAAGCTTCCCTTTCGGGATGCAACACTCCCCTTTTCATGGTTTGGGGCACAGCTGACCAAAAGAATAGGAACATACTGATCATACCATGCCCATAAATGACAAAAAGCTGCATCACCTACGCCGTATGTAAGGGCATTTTCTTTTGAAAATGTACACACTGCCTAGTTATTTACCTCCCTAGATCACTCACTAAAGGTCAACGGTCTTAACGTGTGAGGCCAGCAGCAAAGAAAAGGCTTCAAATACCAGATCTCTCTAGTCCACAGCTATTAAAAAATCCAGAGCAGCACAAAAACAGCATGTCAGCACAGACACCGTCTTTTAGGGGAAGAGTACAGAGAATAACATTTCATCTTCTAAGCAAATAAAAAAATCATCATCTGTGACTTCAGACGGTGCCTTGCAGTTGGTATTTATTCATATCCCCACTCTACTATTTCTAGTAATATAACAGCCAGGAGTTTCCAAAAGGTAAAGAAATGTCAAAATCTGGTTTTCAACCTTGTTTTAACCATTTTCTTCTTTCCCCTTGGCTTGACATAGTTGAAACAGAAACAGGAAGGCATCAAGTCATTATCACTCCATCCTGGTTTGTCTCCGTTTTTCTGCTTGTTTGTACCCTTTTAAAATCCAATCACTCTCACTTTTTTAGGACCTCTCCTCATACAAAATACTGCAATATTTCCAATAGTGATCATTATGTCACCTCTCCTTGTGCTACAGGCTAAGCAGCAGCCCATTATCCATTCACCTGGCTGTACTATGTTCCATGCCTTAAGTCCTAATCCTCTTATTACTTATTTTTCCAATTCATTACTCACTTCCTCTTAGGGATGCAAAGCAGTGACACCAGCGTTCAAAATAAACACCCTAACAGTGGAGAATGCCACCAAGTCCATTCTCACAATCATTCGCTCACTATGCTCCCAAGAACAAAAAAAAAAAAACAAATTTAAAACAAACACACACCACCACTGAGCTTAAGGGGTAAAAAGAAGAAATGTGGGGGGAAATATATTTCAGTAGCAGTCCCAACTGCTGCTCCATTTTTTTAAAGGGTTTGTTTCAACGTTATCATAGTTAAACAAGTCAAACCTGCACTATCACTCCTAGCCTTTTCCAATACAGAAAGCGTTTAAGTACAGTTATATTTTATGAAGTAGCTCTTTATTTTATTGACAAAAAGCAAAATAAATTGCAAAATAAATTCCATCCCAATACAATGTATTCTCTGAAGGCCCTTCTCATTATTCTTTAAAGCTTTTTCTCCACCCTATTTTTGAGACATCCTCTGTTTTGAGACCTTTTGAATAAAATCCCTATTTTCTGATATTATTTACACAGGTCAGGTGCTTCCAAAGGAATAAAGAGAAATGTTGACAAACTGCCAAACTACACAAAGTTAATCTGAATCACACAACTGGTAGAGAGCTATGCATCTATGATGAAATCCAGCATGTTAAGAACCTTTTCAGTAGTAAAACTTCTGCTGAAAATAATCTCGATATATAGTATTTTCCTTTTTTTTCCCTAAATTATCTCAACCACAGTTTAGATATTCATATAAATATAACACCAAAACCATTCAAGTAGATGGACCCTGATCTTTTTTCTTTTTTTTTTTAATGTCCTTTTTTAAAGTTTCCAAAAATTACTGACCTAAATGCTACTTTTTAGGAGGATGATAAAACTATACAAGACAAAGAACACCATCTTCTAGGGAACAGCCTGAATATTTACAAAGCACTTAAATGCAACCCAATAAGGAGGTCAAAATGCTATATAAGCTATATGAACTATATGAACTATATGAACTATATGAACTATATGAACTATATGAACTATAGGTGCAAAGGAAACACCCAGCCAAGTAAAACAGAACCACACCTACTACATTTTTATGTAGGCAACTAAATAAGCACAACACCACTCTGTCTACTGAGCCATCTGAAAGAGAATAAAACCAACATTTGAAAGCAGTTATAGTGGAGACTGAAGTACCACAATAGGACCACCCAGCCTGGCTGTCCCCAGACTCCCCTTTTCAGGGAGGGAGGAGGGAGAAGTGGCAGCAGCTCACAATAATCTCTATTTGCTTCAATAAATTAAAAAGCCAAAAATAGGCAGGAAAACACTCTCAGATCACGCACCTTGAGTATCTCTGCTGGATTACAGATTTGTACAGAAGAGCTGATGGTTGCACTTGTCTAGAACCTCACAGAATTCATGCCATCTTCTCAAGTTTTCATCCTGAGGGGCCCAAACCCACAGGATCTGCTGTGGGGTACAGCTATTGCACCAAAAGGGACTCTCCAGGGCCTTAATTTCTTATTCCCTCTGGTGCACATTTTTGTATAACGTGGTCACGCATCAATCCATGTCGTTTCCCAATTTAGTTTTCTTGTTGATGAACTCTGTGCAGTTTTTAAACCCTTTGCTGCAGTTTGCAATTAAGAAACGGAGAATGCAGGTGATGAACTGGAATACTTTATGTGAGCACTGTACATGAAGTGTTCTTGCTTACAAGCTACGGCCAAAAAAATAGTCAGATCCTTCCGGCAGGAACTCCAGTCACTCATTTCATCAAGCCTAGAACTGCACTGCACAGGTTTTCCTTTCCAGAATGAATAGCTGTAAAATATTTAAAATTTTCTTCAAAGTACCCATTATCCTATTTTACTAGCATTTTGGTTGAATTGGCAGACAGGCAATACACAGGGCATACTATTGCCAGTGATGCAGAGCAGAACTGAGAAAGGTCTTCAGTCAAGACAAGTTCAGCTTAGGAGGAAGACAAAAGGACTAAATATTGATAGTTTTTGAAAGTCACGTAGATTGGATAATTATATGAAGAGAGGTTTGAAAAACAAACAAACGGAAATACCAAAAACATACATCCATCTTTTGAGGCAAATGTAGAAAGCACTTTAAATGCCTGCCTGGTATCACCTTAAACATTTAAGTATCCTATCATCCACTAACTCCAGAAGTTCACTGAAGTCCACTGCTGCTGCAGGCACTCAGTCAGAATGGAGTTTCTAAGAACTAGGGAAAATATTTACAAGTTCTGGAGAAAAACAGAGGCATTTACATAATCTCTAGCAACAGGATATAGAAGTATGGCACTTGTAGCACACTGTCCAGCTGCTTACAGGAAAAAACCCATCATCATGTTAGGAAGGCAGGAAAGGCACCCTAAACAAACAAGAGAAAGATAATTTTTTTCTCTTTTCCTTTTAAAAAGCCTCCTCAGCGGTCTCAAAATAACAGTAAGAGATGACTTCAGAGTGCAACAAAAAACATACTTTCAGGAAAAAAAAACCAAAAACAAAACAACACTGTAAAAAAAAAACCAAAACCCATAAAGCAACTATTCACATTCAAAATGGAAACCAGCCACTTAACCTTCGCGTGGTCTACGTTCTTGGATGGTTCTTATTGTTTCTAAATTATTCTTATTATTTACCTGGAATAGTAATTCCTTAAGAAAATGCTAAAACCTTGTTCCATTGAAGGTATAAATAAATAAATAAACAAATAAATAAATAAATAAATAAATAAAGTAAGAGACACCTACCTGTAATACCGAGATTGTAAATAAGTGGAACAAATAGTCTTTGATACATGGCTGGCAGACCCAAAGTCTATGACTTTGACCCGGTAAGGCTGCCGGACAGGATCCACCAACATAATGTTCTCTGGTTTGAGGTCAGCATGGATTAAACCCAGACTTTTCAGTTTTTTCAGTGCAGTGGCCACCTGTTGCAGAATAGGCCGTATTACTTTGAGCTGCAGGGGGCTGAATTTGTTTTGCTTCAGGAAGTCGTACAAATTCTGCTCCAGCATCTCAAAAACCAGACAAGTGTGGTTACGATGCTGAAAGCACTCGTAGGCTCTCACGAAGTTAAATTCGTCGGCGTTTTCAGTGCTCAGCCTCGCTAAGATGCTCACTTCTATCTGCCCTTGGCGCGCGTACGAAGGATGGTTCTTCAAGATCTTGATCGCCACGATCTCGTTCGTCCCCCTTTTCCAGCACTTCACGACTTGTCCAAAGGTCCCTCGCCCGAGGAAATCCAGAACCTCGTACGTGTTTTTCACGGAGCACAGCACCTCGTGCTGCACTAACTGGTAATCTCCATCCCCGCTCGTGCCGCTGGGTTTCGCGGGGGCGGCCGTCGTCACGACCGCCACCGGGTTCCCCACGTTGGTTTGCAGCATGGCAGGCAGGACGGACAGTTCGTCGACAATCTGCATCGCGCTGTTCTGATTATCCAGCTCTTCGCTCTTACGCTTCAGTCCACATCGCTGGGGTCCTTCCAGGAGATCCGACCGGCTTCCCTGCGTCCCGGTCCGAGGCGCCTCCAGCTGAGGCTGCTGCACCCACGCTGCCAACGCTTTTGTAGCACCTGCAGTATTTTTTAAAGCAACAGCATTTGACTGCAACCAAAAGTTCCGTCCTCGAGGTCTATCAAACGGGTTTTTAGTCTGAAAGAAAGCGCTAACCCTGTGGGGAGAAATTCCAAAGTTTTTACCATTCACGTAGATTTGCGGGTAGGTTCTCTCGTGGTACACGCAGCTGCTTGGTTCTAGTTTGAGTTTCTTCACACTACAAAAGGCACTTGACTGGGTTTGATAAACATATGGTGGATAGACCAAGACTTGTGAGGCCATACCTATGGAGAAGATACAAAGAAAAAACAAGTGAAAATTCTACACACATCCTTGCTGCTTCTAAAAAAAAATCAGGACACGAGTCCAAATGAGCCAGTGACGTATTTCGGTTTTTGTGGCTGATACAAGGCCCTTATGCCTTACCAGAGCACACTTCAGCACACATGGGCTTTGACAGCAGCAGGTTACTGCAGTTAAGTGCACAGGGCAGGACTGAGACGGTCTGCAGCAGGCCACTGAGTGTAAATTTTCAAGTGCAGGACCCACCTTTGTGCTATTAAAAACTCGGGTTTCATTTAAAACCTCCCACGCCGTTTGCACATACAGAAGTGCCACAGTGTTCAGTGGCATAACTGGAAAAACCCATTCAAATACTTATCAGAGATGACATAAAACAACTCAGAAATCCTTCATTGTGAGACAAAGCTACCTGTTACACAAGATATCCGACCTACTCATTGGAAGCACCATCAGGCTTCAGAGAACAGACACACAACGACACAACTGTCCAAGCTGGAAGAATTTCGCTGTGATGAAAGCGAAAGTGATCGAGCCATGTGATGGGGCCTGAAATAACTTAGGGGCATGTCTATGCACACATAAACAACCACAGCTTTCCAGTAAATTACGATGTACAGTAACCTAATCCATTCACCAAAGGCAGGTGTTTTTCCCAGGTTATATTCCACCCCTCTGCAGAAGTTCCCATATGAGTTGTAGGGGGTAGAAGCACTGAGTTTAACTTCCAGGTTTCCTCTTTCCACTGACCCTGCTGTCCCCTTCCAAACCTGTCAAACACCAGCCTTAGACTTATCTGTCACTTAATGTTAAACACTAAGAAAAAGGCCCTGGATGGGCCCCATCATACAAGGTTTCATGGAAGTTATGGAAGTTATACCAGTCTGATCAGCTCCCAGAGATGAATTCAACACCAATAATACCTTAATTAAATCACTTAATCACACCAAGCACATGAAAATTCTGGTAATAGGTATTTAAATTGCAGATGAGTCACATAAAACTTGAACCAGACATCGCAACGACTCTGATCAAATGAAAACTAACCAAACGCACAGCGTAATTATTCTGAAGCTGTGATTTGATTTATGCAAATTTGCATTTAGATATCTTCAGAGCAATTAAAATAATCATACCAACACCTCGGTTTAGCATCCTCTAATGGGTTTTGTCCCAGCTGTGGCAGAAAACTTCAAAGCCCTTTCCTCCACAGAGCTGTTTGCCCAGAGCCAGATGATGGAGAAGGCTGGAGACAGCAAAGGGCTGGGCTCTCTCGCCACCAAACGTGATGGGACTGCCACCAGCCTCCTGCTTCACACCAAGAATTTAAGACCAACTATTCACCTCAAAACACAGGCAAAAATTCCCCAAATTCTTGAATTCTCTCCTAAATAACATACCCCATTACAACATGCCTAGCGCACAGCATAAGCATATTACTGACTACGGGACATACTCTGTTTTCTATAATAATTATATTTAAATAACGCACAGTTCAGGCCAACCCAAACCTTCTGTCAGCAGCCTACCATTCCTCCAGTTCTTCTGGGATGACTCAAATACCAGATTCACCACATTTACTCCAAAGACACCAAAATATCAAAATAATATTTGGTTGTTTGTTGTTTGTTTTTCCTTAAAATCTTCTCAAGGTTCCTGCTAACAAATGCTCTGCTTGCTTTTTTCCCCACAATCCCTGCTTACTCTTCAACATGCACGTGGCACGACAGGATGGTGGGAGGACAGTCCTCCAGCACAGCCAGAGGACAACTCAGATCCTCACCTGAGCCTGTAGACACCACTAGCATTCCAGAAAAGTGCAAGTTTTCCATAGCTCATGCTGTTCAAACCAGTCCAGAAGGTCTAGAAGCACACAGTCCCAGCTTTAACATTAATTTCAGTTGGACAAAAAAAAAACCAAACCAAAAAAAAAAAAACAAACCCCAGGCTATCTATCATCTTTTGGAGTTTGTGTGTTTCTTACAGACTTAACTACATGACCCTGAACTCCAACCACAGTAACAGCTCTGTTCTCAGATAAGAAGTGTTTACTGAGTTATCACAAGAACATTTGCAGCAACTCCAAAAAAAAAATATAATTAAGCACTAAATAGAAGAGATAACATACCCTGGAAGAACAAACTTTGATACAATAATGAACTGAACTAAATCAGACTGAACTAAAAAAAAAAGTAAAATTTTAATCTAGAAAAATAAAAACGGCCTTGGTTTTTGCAGAAGCATCTAATTTCTTACCTTCCCCTAAACACCTCTTCATCAGCCCCATTACTTTGCTTGCATTTTTTTAAACATACACTTCAAGATGTCAGTCTTATTTGGACAGGCTGCAGGGTCTTCACGTGACCAATGAACGAGGTGTTCCTGTGAAACAGCCACATGGAAGTCCTGCACCTGAGACAGCTCCGAGACCCCTGCCACGCACTCACACGCAGTGCTCAATTCACATTTCAGGACAGGGGCACCTTCTCTGCTGTACAATAACAAATATGCCGTGAAATCCAACGGGACAGCATGTAACTATCCAACACAACCGGTTTCTGGAGGCCTCTGCTTTGAGAAAGTAAGTTTATAAATAGAATTGATTTCCCCCTCCCCGGGCAAAAACAAAGCCCCACGGTCAGCAGAGCTGCACAACAAACCTTGAAGAGAAAGGGAAAATACCACAACAGCCTCTACTCTAACAGCACTGCCACAGTGTGGGGGCTTTTTTTGTTGGTTTGGGGTTGTGGGTGGTTTGGTTTTTGGGTTCTGTTTTTTTTTTTTCCTGTGTTGGTTTGTCTGTGGGGATTGGGAGCTTTTTTGGGGGGGATTCTGGTTACAATGCAATTCTATGTATAGCTACACTGGAAGGAGTAAAGAGTTATCATGTAGCAGGGTTTTTTTTTGCTGTAATTTTTTTTCACCAGGTCTCCTAGCAGAAAAAAAACAATACAGCACATTTCCACCTACCAGAGTGGATCTTTCTCCCCCATACACACACCTTGTCACAAAACATTTCACTGAGTTTATCCATCTTTCTGCACACTTCTTAGAGAAGACTATTCCCACTTCCTCGTGCAAACTGAAGCTTGTCAGGCTACATCTGCATTAACAACTCCAGCAGCAGAACAAGAGAGGGATGTGTAGAGCAAAGCAGCCACTGCTAAAGGGAAAAAAACCCTCCTTCAGTGCTCATTTCAGGGAGGTTACTTGAGCCTGAACACTCATGAGTACTTGGTGCACATCTTCCATTTTAAAATTTAGGAATTTTTAAAAAACCAAATGCAGGCACTAGAAGACGCCTTCGGAATGCAAATCAAAGCAGGGTAAACAAAACCATCAGAAGATGGACTGAGAAGTGCAATCCCCAGGTGACACAGCACAGGTACACAGGCAGCCTCTGGCTACCTGAGTAGCTTCAGACTTGTCCTTCAGTTTTATCTCAGAGAAGCCTGGCTGTTCCCCCTACACCCATTTCTAAAGCCCTCTTCTCCTCCCATCATAACTTCCCTCCAGCACAGTGGCTGCTCCTGGGCAGTGGCACACACAAGCTGCAGTTGAGTCTGTAGTTCTCCAGTTTGTGTTCTCCAACACTGAAGTTGCCTCACGTGCCAGACCCTGCCAGTGAATAGTGCAGGGGATGTGGAAGAGAAAGGCTGAGACATCAACTCCTGTTACCTCCAGACAGGTTTCCTTCGAAGGAATGAGTCGTCTGGCTTTGAAGCACGGAGAACTGGGAAGACCACATTTGGCTTATTAAAACATTAAACTACATAAAATGTGGGACTTCTGATCAGAGTCAAGGCTGGGAATTCTACGCTTCTGAAGAAAGTACCAACAAACTAATGAAGTAAGCAAATTAATTGTTCGTTCATTGAAATAAATTAATCAATGCACTTTCATAAAATAATGTCAGTGGATAGGAGGCACTTCACAATTTGCCCTCCCCCTCTCCCCCCAGTCAGGCTTCTCTCTGCAGAAACCGAGCAGCAAACCACACAGACATGTCTCAGCAAAATAAAACCCCTCTGCTTAAAACATCTTGCTAATGTTCCCCTAACTGTAACAATGCTGGCAGTTCTAGGCAAATTCAGGAACACGACCAACTTGGCAGGCTGTGACAACCTCGACAAGCACAGGCTGTTTCAGGCCTGACCACCGTCAATAATTAACCGTACACTGACATTTCCTCATGACCGAGTAAAGGAAGGGGGAGGCCGTGTAGCAGAGCAGCCGGCTGGAAAGGCCACGAGCTGAAGAGAAATTGCCACACTACACCCCTTAATTCGCCTGCAAACACGCGGCTCCTTCTCCCTGCCCCAAGCGGGTGCAGTCCGGCGTGGCAAAACCCCCCGGCAGGCAAAGCCCAGCCAGCGGCACCCACCTAATAACAGGGTTAAACGGGAACTCCAGAAAACTTGGTTTCCAACTTCCTTAGGGCCTCCTCCATCGGCAAGAGCCGGTTCCGAGGCGCTCGCAGCCTCCTCGCAGCGCAGCCGGGCATCCAGGGAGGCTTCCTAAAAGCTCCGTGACTTCCAGCAAGTGCTCCGTTTGAGCAGCAGCGGCGCTTACGCAATGTTTTGTTTACACTATGCATCACTCTGGAAACGCTAAGGATACCAACTGCCGTTTTTCCCAGGTAAAACAATTCTTCTTTTTTGCATTAGGGTGCCACCCAGCTTCGCACGTTATTTAGCGAATAGAAAGCTGGATTAGTCGCCCTCTCTTCCCTCCCCCCCTCCCAGAAGAAACTTAATTAGTAGTAGTAGTAGTAGTAGCAGCACCTCTATGTCATTGTTTATTTTGGATATGTAGCCGAACAAGCTGTACTGATGCGAGTACTTTCGTACCCATGACCCGTTCACCCCGAGGAATTCCCTCACTCCAGCTGTACGATTAATAACAAAGCACTGGCAACCGAGGTTTCGTGCAATTTATGTAGGAAAACATCCACAGACAGCGCAAAGTGTCCAGAAATACAAGC